AATACCGGATATATCTTATTCCGGATTAACTTATTCATTAACGGATATATATATATATAAACCCAGTACAGACATTATAAAACAATATAAAACAACGGAATACAAAACAAAAACTAAACCCGAAGGCAACGAAAGCCAGTGTAAGTGTCATTATTTATTCACATATTAATTTACGCATTCATTTACATACATACATCCTCAAACACACCTGAACTCGGGGTCACGCCAGGTAAAAAAAAAATAATTAATGTTGTTAATTCACTTCTTTCGTGTCGGGTTTATGGTTGATTCCGGCCGGTTGATGACGGTAACTCGGTAGAGAGAGAACTGTCTATCTGTCTGTCTTTACATCTATATTTAAACCTGCCTGTCTGTCTGTCTATCTATTAATTAACACAACATTGTCTTTCTGAACCATAATAACAAGTCTCATTCAAGTAATATAGGGTTGAGTATTATTATTTTAGTTTAAATTGTATTTTAATTTTTTTTCTTAGTAAAATTATCTCTGAAATCCTGAAGTTTTGATGTGTGGAAGCGGTGGATATAGTGTCAGGTTTAATTAGTTATGGTGTTAATTATTTTTTACCACAGATCGCTATTTGTTGTCGGAATCACACCATATATAGGTTATCATTTCACTGTCATCATTATCGTCATTGTTATTGTTAGTATTATCATCTTCATCATCATCATCATCACTGTAGTGTTATCATATCACTATATATAAGTTCTCGCCTCACCATACTTTATCATCATCATTATCTTTCATCATCATCATTATCTTTCATCATCATCATCATCTTGGCACTATCACCACGTCAACATACACGGTACAGTGCATCCTTACCATTACCATCATCACACCCCCATCATGATTACACTCGTCACCATCATTGCTCTAACACCATCATTACTTTTCATCACCATCTCACCATACATCACCATCTTTTCTAGCATCACCACCATTGTTCCTCACTATAACTACCACCATCTTCAGGTCACAACATAACAATATTTACACTATACCACATTAACACACGCACATATTCTCTGCTCTCCTCCAAGATGCTCTAAATTACCCTTTATATTGGATGAGTAAACCCCCCAAAAATACAATTGTCTTTAAATATGTTCAACAACACTGAATATTTTGCAATCTTCACTTGTTTATCTGTCTGTCTGTCTCTCTCTGTCTCTCTGTCATTGTAATTCTGACCTTTGTTTATCTCTCTCTGTCTGTCTGTTTGTCTCTATCTCATCATATTTCTAACCAGAGATACGAACCTTGGGTCTTTCGAACGGTGAGTAAAGAAGTACCTCGTGGTCGCTCTGGGTCGCCTTACTATACGCTCCCACAACGAGTGATCTCAAACCAAACCAAAGATTCTGAAACGTTGCCTCAAAATCTTCGGAAACTCGTGGGTGATCCGGTGGTCTCTTCTCGCTCGTCATTTACATTTAGCCTCGGCATCCTCAGCAGCAATGTGCAAGTCAAATGACAATAACAAGTATGGTAATCCTTATACTCCGGCACGAGAGGAAATGTGGGAGGATGGGGTGGGATGGGGATGGGATGGGGTGGGGATGGGGGGGGGGGAGGGGATGGGGAGGAGTGAGGAGAATGGGGAGGAAATGTTGTGGACTTATAAATTAGGTAATGGTCAAGTTTGTTGTTGTTCTTTGTCTCAGTCACTCACAACATTTGGACTTTAGCGTCGCATCATTGGATTTTCTCTATTCCTCATTTTTCTTCTTTCTTTCTCTTTTTCTATTTTTTGTCTTCTTCGGGTTGAGACGTTTCCTTCCCCGATCGGTAAAAAGAACCCTTGGCTTTTTTAGTAGAGGATGAAGATGTTGATACGTTTAGTTGACAACAGAAACGGCACATGACACCACTAACTCAGGAACATGGATGGATAGACTCATATCATTCCTCTCTCTAATCACCTAAAGATAAGGCACTCTAGCTTATCATACCTTAATGATTAAACACCTCAACCTAACCTAACCTAACCTTAACCCACCCAGGTAGAGTTCGAGTGCTTAATCATCAGGTGAAATTAAACTGAGGTGGTCTAATATCCAGGTGATTCCCTTCTCATTACTAGTACGAATCTCTAATGGCCTCCCGCTGGTCCTGGGCGTTACAGGTAGGACCATAATAGACCAATACACCTGCAGACTCCAACAGGTGTCTAGGAGGACGACCTTAGCTCCTACAACGGCGTCCTTCGTCCTACAGGAATTCTCTTGTCTGTGGGAGGTCAACTACTGTCTTGTTGTGTGTGTGTGTGTGTGTGTGTGTGTGTGTGTGTCTAAGGGGGGATTTAGGTGTTATCTCTACCTGTGTCCTGATAAGATATGAGAGAGAGAGAGAGAGAGAGAGAGAGAGAGAGAGAGAGAGAGAGAGAGAGAGAGAGTATCTTTGAATCGTGTGGTGGAGTAAGATCATCTCTGGTCTGGCAACACCAACAGTCAGGAACTTTTTTTGCACTTCTTCGTTTATGACGCCAATTACGCTCGACTTCGGAGGGACCCGCGAGAGGCAGTGTGTGAGTGTGTGAGCGTCCGAGTATGTGAGCACTTCTATGTGTTATCAGAAAATTAGAATCCACAGATTGACCCTAATCTAGTGTCTGAGTTTGAATATGATCTTCCACATTTTGATACAATAAATGTCATGTAATCTTTCTTCTCGGGCGAACATTTAAGTAAGGGTGAAGGAAGGTGTGTGTGTGTTAAGCAGGAGTCTAACAAATGACCTTAAAGGGAACCAGTGAATCAGAGTGATGAGTGAAGTGCATACTGGGGAAACTACCTGTGTGTTAATTTGAGTGGTGGAAGGTAAAAAAGGGTCTTGGTGGAGAACACACTTTTATGAAGTTAGTCTCTTAATATATGTAAATGACTACAGTGACTCACCCTTATATTCTCAGGTTAATGAACGAATTTACGAAACTTGGAACTGTGTAAGACGGCTTCTGTCTCTAATTTCTCTCATCATTTTCTCTCTTTCATTCTTGCTCTGCTCTCACAACCCACGTCCTCCACCCATCACCCACGTCCTCCTCCCATCACTCACATCCTCCACCCATCACCCACGTCCTCCTCCCATCACCCACGTCCTCCTCCCATCACCCACGTCCTCCTCCCATCACCCACGTCCTCCTCCCATCACCCACGTCCTCCTCCCATCACCCATGTCCTCCTCCCATCACCCACGTCTTCCACTCATACCTTCTACGCTGGTCTGCCTCCACAGAGAACCTCAGTAGTTAACTCATCTTGGATACCTCACCCACGCACACGTCAGTCATTTGTTATGATACTGTGTTTTACATGTGCGTCCCGTGTTTACATGTGCGTACCGTGTTTACATGTGCGTCTTGTGTTTACGTGTGGGGACGGGCAGACAGACAGGTAGACGTCGGAGGGTGAAGGTGCACAGAGAAGAGTAATGACTCTCCGGGATGAGACCAAAGGCAGGGAAAAGGCAACAGATGGAAATGGAAGAAAACGTACAGGTATTAACAGAGAGAGAGAGAGAGAGAGAGAGAGAGAGAGAGAGAGAGAGAGCCGACAGTTGAAAGAAGACCAGTTGTTCTCCGACAGCAAAAACTTTTACAACATTGCAATGCTGAAGCCTCCGTCTAGTTCCAGGTTATGACACCTTTACGACTACGTCTAAATGAATTTTGTGGTGGTGGGGGACGGGCGTCAGGTCTGGCCTACGGCTGCACAATCGATGCTTTATGACCAACTAGTTGCTTCACTCCCTGCCGTTCCTCTAGTCCACATGCCACCGAAGCAATCAGTAGAAATCATAATTAACTTCACCCCGTAATGTATATGAGTGTGTTTATAGATATATATTTAATCTATGTATAAATATATAAACCCTCTTTTCCCCCCCTATAAACAAATAAACACCGATATATTATGAACTAGACTCTAATTACCAGAGTATCTTTCAAGTTTTAGTCAGTCACATTGCTACCTCCTCTCTCCAAACTACCTGTACTCTCCCCTCCTCTTCACACACACACACACACACACACACACACACACACACACACACACACACACACACACACACACACACACACACACACACACACACACACACACACACTTGATCTCTTTACATGAGTTTCCCCTCCGCCTGGTAGCCCCGTTTTCTACATGACTGCCTACTTTCCATGAACGGACGAATTTTTACGAGGTCTCAACGATGCTGGTGATAAAACCTCCTGAAGGGGCTAGAATATAAAGGGTGCAGGGTGTCTCCGTAACTCTCAGGGCGCCAACACACGTGAGAATCAAACCCAAGGGAAAAATTTGCATGCGCTTATACTGTAGATAGTCGAGGGTAAAAAAAAAATATAAAAAAAAATAAAAAATAAATATCGGTTTTGGGGCGTTGTCTCGGCTTATGGATATTACTCTAGGTATTTTTCTTTCTCTATCTCTATTTTTATTGGTGGAGAGAGAGAGAGAGAGAGAGAGAGAGAGAGAGAGAGAGAGGATGACAAATGAGGGAGGGAAAGGTGTGACAAAGAGACAGAAAGAGGGAGATAGATAGGAAGAGAGATAGACAAGAGAGACTAAGAGATAGTTAGAGAAGAAAAGGATGAGAAAATTAATGAGAATATTGTAAGAAAAAGTATGAAAGTACTGAAAACTTTTTGTTATTCTGATCCAAATTATTAGAAAGTTAAAAATCACATGTTGGGGGATGGATAGATGGATAGATAGATAGATTATTTATTGACCACAGCAATACTAATACAAGACAAGCAAAAGGCCCCACACACACACACACACACACACACACACACACACACACACACACACACACACACACACACACACACACACACACACGCACCGTTATATGGAAACTTTCGTTTGACATCTGACGACAGTGGCGCTCGTTCAGTGTAGCTAAAATGAGTGAGTGAGTGAATGAGTGAGTGAATGAGTGAGTGAGTACATACCTCGGTGAGGATGGAGAATAGTTCCCTGGGTCTCATCTTGGCGTGGACGAAGATGTGGTACACAGCACACACAGCCAGGGCGGTGATGCCGTGTTCCTTGGTTAGCATGGACAGGGTGGCCGAAACCAGAGCCGCCCCTAACCACGCCCGCCGCCCTACCCTGCTGCTCATGCCCACGCCCACGCCTCCATTACCACGCCCACAGCCGCAGTAGCGCATGTATGAGAGCAGCGCCCCGAGGAAGAATATAGCAGCGCCCACGTCCGCCCTCCCCACCACGCCCGCCACGGCTTCGGTATGGATGGGGTGGGCGGCAAAGAGAAGGGGCGCGGCGGTGCGGGCTAGGCGGGCGTGGGGCGTAAGCGTGCGCGCCAACACAGCGAAAAGACCAGTGGCAGCCACGTGCAGTACAACATTGGTCACGTGGTATGACCTCGGCTGGAACTCCGACACCATGTAGTTGAGTCTGTCAAGGTGAGACACACAGGTGAGATACAGAGGTGAGACACAGAGGTGAGACACAGAGGTGAGACACAGAGGTGAGACATGAGGATGAGACACTAGATTGAGATAAACACATTTTAACATCAAACTTTCTACCTCAGAACAACACTTTGAAATTATAACAGTTTTAAACTAAACCAAACTTTTCAATCTAGAAAAGGTTTTGACCTCAGAGAAATATCTTCAACTGAACCAAAAGTTTCATAAGTTTACATTTCACCTCATGAGATCTGCCTGTCTGGTGATTGATTTGTTGTGACTAAAATTATCTCCCTTAACCAACATTCAATGAGAAAGATAGACTGATAGCAAATTAATCCCAGAAGGAAAAATACATACCTGTCCATCTATCGTGGGTTAAAACCTCAATTAAACTATTAAATAAAATACAAAACCTGACGTGTTAAGTGCTCTCGTTAAATGCACTTGTTGTTTGACTTAATATATGTAGACAGAAAAAGTTTTTTATATATAAGTAACTGCTGTTATTAGCGTGAAACACAAGTTATAGTGACTTTTTTGTGTTGAACTAAGATTTATAAAATGTCAGACACTTACATATAAAGAAGTCATTGTGGTTTATATTAATACTTTAACTTAATGGTTTACTCTGACTATAAAGGAAAGTACGCGAGTAAAAAAACCAAATATTTTTCATATGTGAACATGAACGCGGGAGGAGAAACATGGCCCTAGGAGACAGAAACCGACCCCGGGAGATAGACCATGGCCCTAGGAGATAGAACCCGACTCTGGGAGATAAACTATGACCATGGGAGATAAGTATGACCCTGGGAGATAGAATCTGACCCTGGGAGATAGAATCTGACGCTGGGAGATATAACCCGACCCTGGGAGATAGAAACTGACCCTGGGAGATAAAGCATGACCCTGGGAGATAAACCCTGGACCCTGGGAGATAAAGCATGACCCTGAGAGATAAACCCTGGCCCTGGGAGATAAGGCATGACCCTGGGAGATAATCCCTGGCCCTGGGAAATAGATCATGATCCTGGGAGATAAAGCATGACCCTGGGAGATAGACCATGGCCTTGGAAAGAGAACCACGACCCTAGACGGCAGAACCTGAGCCTGGGGGGTAAACCATGACCCAGGGAGACAGAACTTGACCCTGTGAGGTAGACCATGGCCCTGAGAGACAAAATCTAACTCTGGGAGGACGGCCAAGACCCTGAGTTATAGAACATGGCCCCCTGGGATAAGGCGCACACACACCCCTGGGGACATACTACATGGCCTCCAGGAGACGACCGAGAGAAGGACGTACCTGAAGGAGAGGACCGTGAGGGGGCGGTAGGATTTGTGGGAGCCGCTGTGGGTGAGGGGCGTCCCCCAGAAGTCATCCCACAGCAGCTGTGAGAGAGGAGTCGTAGGCAGTACATCGGGATTCGTCTTTATGGCGCGGCTGTAATGAGAGAATAATTTATATGAGTTAAATATGTATCATAGAAACTGGACGGGATAGATGTGTAACAGAAAACGGGTTATGACAGAGAGATGTGTAACAGAAAACGGGTTATGACAGAGAGATGTGTAACAGAAAACGGGTTATGACAGAGAGATGTGTAACAGAAAATGTAGTCGTGACAGATAGATGTGTAACAGAAAACGGGTTATGTCAGCTAGATGTGAAACAGAAAACGGGTTACGACAAATAGATGTGTAACAAAAAACCTGATCGTAACAAATATACATAACACAGACATTATGACGTGATATATAAACAAAAACAATGTGTTCACTGTATAACAAACAAAACAAAACGATTTAAATGCATAACAAAAACAGATCACATATATTAAAAGACTTTAGATATACCATAGAGAAAATGAGACACTTAAAAATAAATCACTTTATAAATTCTCTTATTTTATATACATACTATACTAACTCTGGGTTTATATTGTCTTCTAACTCAAACTTTTCTTTATACATTAATATACTGAGGATATACATGTTTATATACATAAGTGAAGTAAATTGTTCTCCTAAGAATATATGAATACTTTTCCGTATATCTCATTTCTATCTCTCTCTCTCTCTCTCTCTCTCTCTCTCTCTCTCTCTCACTCCTTCAAAATCCTTCTACCTCTCTCACAACATTAACATCCATCTCTCTCATCCATCTATCTCTCTCACTCTATTATCCATCTTTCTCTCTTACTACTCTCCCTATATCCATCTTTCTCATCTCTTCCACTACTATTTGGATGCCTCAGCCGCCTCCCATCTACGTGAGGCTTGGCTACGCTTCTCCCTCCTCCAACAAGGGAGATGATACCGTTCCTGCGTCTGTCACAAGGGAGTTGACAAAAGGAGGTCCTAATGCCCTTAAACTTGTCATTGGATTGTGTACATAGAGGATCAACTGAGGAGAGGGAAGGAAGGGTGGGGGAGGAGGGGGAGGGAGGAGGGGGTGGGGAAAGGAAAGTATTGAGGAGGGATGGTGGGGGAAAAGTGTGTGTGTGTGTGTGTGAGTGTGTGTAGTTTTCTTTTATGTTGCGTTGTCTCCCTTCATCATTCATATCCCAATTATCATTTTTTTCCTTTTCTTTATCTCCAGTTATATCTCTCACACCCATTCCATTTCCCTTTCCTCAATGTCTCTTATCTATCTATCAGTTACGTTTCTCCACCCTCCCCCTTATCAGTATCCTCCTCCTCCTTCTCCTCCTCCTCGTCCTCCCCTTCCTTCCTCCCTTCCAATGATCTTAACCTTCGATACCACATCTATTCACGCGACCAGGCCAACCATCCCTCAATCAGATCTAAATGGTTCATGGGTTCCTCTCCTCCTCCTCCTCAACCTCTTCCCCCTCCCCCTCCCCCTCCCCTCCTCCTCTTCCTCCTCCTCCTCTTTGGCCAGCTGGGGGGGTGTGGGGTGGGGGGGGTGGGGGGGAGAGGGGGTTGAATCGCCCGCTGGTGCGTCTCACTTGTACCTCTCTTATCAGCCATCAAATATGTCATGTCCCTGGTAGTTCGGTCGTCACCTCTAGTATGGCGAGAGTTCTGAGGAGTCTTGCTTAAGGGAGGAGGGTAGTGTATGTGTGTGTATGTGTGTGTATGTATGTGTATGTGTGTGTGTCGTCGCGTTGAGGGGAGGGAGGGAATAAAGTGTAAGTGATCGACAATTTGTCCTTTCCACGATTTATCAATTTTCCTCTAGAGAATGAGAGGTTTGTCAATGGGGGGGGAGAGAGGAGGAGGGTGAGGGGGTGAATGGAGGGGTAGGGGTGGAGGGGTGGGTGATGTGGAGGGGTGGGGATGTGTGGGGTGATGGAGGGAAGTAGGGGTGGAGGGGTGGGGTGATGGACGGAAGTAGGGTGGGGGTGTAGGGGTAGGGGTGTAGGGTGGGGGGGGCCAGGGGTGGAGGGGTGGAGGAAGTAGGGGGGTGGAGGGTGATGGAGGGAAGTAGGGGGGTGGAGGGGTGTGGGGTGATGGAGGGAAGTAGGGGGGGATGGAAGGATGTGGGGAGGAAGGGAGGTGAGAGGGACATGTATGAAAAGACGACAGTTGTTCCTCTCGAGTATGAGTGGGACCTCCCAATCAATGCCCAGAAGGATCTAACAGTTGTATGAACACGTCAGCAACATTTCGTGACCCTCCGCTGATCTGTAGTGTGAGGGCTATCAGATTCTCCTGTTGTCAATACTAGTAGTCCATAAGATAGCAATCGTTATCCTTACCATCGTTATATATTCAGCCGTTTATCCATCCATCAACATTATAAATCGTTGCCTTTTTATTCGAATTCTTTAACCGAACAAATTGATTATAATCTCACTTCAAGTAGTTTAGCAAGATTACCTGATAGATACATTTTAGGTCTGTATTTGAATATACAGTTACATATGCAGTTACAGTTATGAGTACAGTTACAGATAGATACAGTTTAGTTACAAAATTCAGGTACAGTTTGTTGAGCTGCAGGTAATTAGCTGAAATTTTAAGTTATTCAATGTCAGATATATAGAAAATAATATTTGTTGTATCTGCATTGAAATAAAAAAGTAAAGTTAACAAATTTTTCTCATTATTATCACCATTGTCACTATTCTAGTCATTATTAACATCATTCTTGTCATCATTATCATTATCATTAGCATCATCATCATCATCATCATCATAATCATCATTACTGTGACTTTTTTCTCCTCACTTTAGGCAGAACACACACACACACACACAGGTAAAAACTTTGAACTAATAACAGTTAACACAACCTCTTTTGCATTACGTCTACTTCCTAATTGACCTTCGTTAACCAACTACTCAATGTGAAAGATCGTTAGCATATTCGTTAATTCTCCTTTTCGTTAATTTTAGTATTTTTTCGTATTATTTCGTTAACCGTGGCATTTATTCTGAGTAAATTCGTTAACATGAGTATTATTTCTTAGTTCTCGTTAATCAGAAGTATAATAGAAGTTGGCAAAATGTTCAGAAGAATGTTGTGACTAACTATTGTAAATATTATGTTTGAAGGAATGTTGATTAAATTTGTTTTTTGCAGTAATGTTGAGTTTTAAAATGTTGCAGTGATGTTGGTTTTGATATTGGAGGAATGTCTGAGAAAACACAAAAAAATAATCATTGAGGAGAAATTAACTAATATTATGCTTAAAATGAGAGAGAGAGAGAGAGAGAGAGAGAGAGAGAGAGAGAGAGAGAGAGAGTTTCGGCTATTTAGAGAATAATTAAGGACCTTGTGATTAAGTGTGAAGACAGAAATTATAAAGTGTTGAAGTGAGGGAGAAGAGTGTTGGAGGAATGAGGGAGAACAGGTAAACACAGGTGTGCTAGTTGATGAAGGACTGGATGAGAAATGTTGGAGTACTCAGGTAATGTTATTGGAGGAGTGTTGGAGGTGTGTTGGAGGAGTGGTGGAGGTTGAGTTAGAATGGTGGGAGGAGCAGTGATTAGAGGAGTGTTGGAGAAGTGGTGGAGGTATGTTGGAGGGGAGTGATATAGAAGTGTTGGAAGAGTAGTAGAAGAGTGTTGGAGGAATGTGGTAAGTGGAATATTGTTGGAGAAACGTTGGTGGAGTGATGGAGGGGTATTGTTGAAGAAGCGTGGATTAGGTGACTGTTGGAGTTATGGGATGGGCCAGGGTTTGTGTTGGAGGAGCAGGGTGGTGGCGGTGTTGGAGAAGCAGGGTGGTGGTGGTAGTGTTGGAGGAGAAGGGTGGTGGTGGTGTTGGAGGAGCAGGGTGGTGGTGGTAGGGTTGGAGGAGCAGGGTGGTGGCGGTGTTGGAGGAGCAGGGGTGGTGGTAGTGTTGGAGGAGCAGGGTGGTGGTGTTGTTTGATGAGCAGGGTGGTGGTGGTGGTGTTGATGAGCAGGGTGTGTGGTGTGTTGAGGAGCAGGGTGGTGGTGGTGGTGTTGGAGGAGCAGGGTGGTGGTGGTGGTGGTGTGGTGTTGGAGGAGCAGGGTGTTGGTGGCGGTGTTGAGGAGCAGGGGTGGTGGTGGCGGTGTTGGAGGAGCAGGTGGTGGTGGCGGTAAAGGAGGAGCAGGGTGGTGGTGGTGAAAAGGAGGAGCAGGGGTGGTGGCGGTGTTGGAGGAGCAGGGTGGTGTTGGTGTTGTTGGAGTGGAGCAGGGGTGGTGGTGTTGGTGTTGGAGGAGAAGGTGGTGGTGTAGTGTTGGAGGAGCAGGGGTGGTGGTGGTGGTGTGTTGGAGGAGAAGGGTGGTGGTAGTGTTGGAGGAGCAGGGTGGTGGTGGTGGTGTTGAGGAGCAGGGTGGTGGTGGTGGTGTTGGAGGAGCAGGTGGTGGGTGGTGGTGTTGGAGGAGCAGGGTGGTGGTGGTAGTGTTGAGGAGCAAGGTGGTGGTGGTAGTGTTGGAGGAGCAGGGTGTGGTGGTGGTGTTGGAGGAGCAGGGTGGTGTTAGGGGTGTTGAGGAGCAGGGTGGTGGTGGTAGTGTTGGAGGAGCAGGGTGGTGGTGGTGTTGGAGGAGCAGGGTGGTGGTGGTAGTGTTGGAGGAGCAGGGTGGTGGTGGTAGTGTTGGAGGAGCAGGGTGGTGGTGGTGGTGGTGTCTGGTGAGCCGGGCTGGCGACTGTCAGGCTAGTGTTTATGCCTGATTTCCCCCTAAACACTGGAGCAGCCCTCGCCACCTCCCACTCCTCTTCGTCCGCGTGTCTCTAAACAACACTCACTACACCCATCTCCCTCCCCGCTACACCCACACACCTATACACCTCACCACACCAACACCAACACCCCAACACCCTCTTGAGTCAAACCAACACCATTTCATATCTCAGGAGGTGGTGAAAATAAGCAGGAAATTGTGATCGAGAACGTTTTCTTATGCATATGTCTTCATCCCTACAAATTAGAGTCTCAAAATGGTTCTCTGGCAACTCTTAAGGTCCTAGGACGGGACCCCGACCTCACTAGCAAACTCTTGTAATTGTTTCTTATTTTCGATTGTCAACAAGCTGGACTCTACACATCCTCTCACAGGTTCGTAAGGTGAGATTTTACTCCAACTTTTTTAAGCTGGGGAAATAAGTTGTGAGTTCCCATCTAACTAACTCGCTGGGGGTTCATTTTTTTTTAGCTATGACGTAAGTGTTATTGGTCAAAATGGTGACGACATTGGCCTGAGACTCTACCGTCACCATATGCGTCC